TCCCAGAGGGAAGAAGTGAAGCCATTAACTCTGATCCTGTACCCAATACCAGAAGCGGCACCCATCACCCTCCCTGGCAGAGCAGCAGAAGAGGGGAGCCTAGGACCTTTCACGGAGAGGGAGAGAACTCCTGACCCTTTCGTCCTCCCCCATAGACTAGCTAGGGAGACATGTTAGGGACTGAGAAAATAAGGAACAGCAAGGTGGCTAAGCAGGGCCACCCGCTCACTCCCTACGCCCCACCCTTCCCCACACACACACATTGTAAACACAAGGGACCAGAATAACACCTTTTTCCTAAACATCTCTAGCTAGATTTCCTTTTTCATCCTGTCTAATTTCTCCAAATCCTTCTCTCCTGTTGAACTAGGACAGATCAAGACTATGTGGAGGATATGTAAGCTACAGTTGACTTCCTGCCCAGGGCCTCACCTCCTAGAAGCACTTCTCAGGGAAGGGTAAAACTGCCCCCAGCTGCCCAGGACAAAATCTTCAAAGGTGACCCCCAGGGCTCAATTATCCAATGGAGCTTTCCATACTTAAAAGTGCAGCAGGCCGGGTGAGGTGACTCACACCTGTAATCCTGCACTTTGGGAGGCCGAGTGGAGCAAATCACCTGAGGTCAGGAGTTGGAGAGCAGCCTGGCTGACATGGTGAAACCCCGTCTCTACTAAAAATACAAAAATTAGCTGGGAGTGGTGGTGGGCGCCTGTAATCCCAGCTACTCGGGAGGCTGAGGCAGGAGAATCACTTGAACCCAGGAGGCGGAGGTTGCAGTGAGCTGAGATCATGCCACTGTACTCCAGCCTGGACGACACAGCCAGACTCCATCTCAAAAAAAAAAAAAAAAAAAAAAAAGGGAAAAGAAAAACACAAAAAAACAAAAAAACGGGTGCCGTGGCTCATACCTGTAATCCCGGCACTTTTCAAGGCTGAGGCAGGTGGATCATCTGAGGTCAGGAGTTTGAAACCAGCCTGGCCAACATTCTGACACCCTGTACTAAAAATACAAAAAAAATTTAGGGGGGTGTGGTGGTGCATGCCTATAATCCCAGCTACTCAGGAGACTGAAGCAGGAGAATCGCTTGAACCCCAGAGATGGAGGCTGCAATGAGCTGAGGTCGTGCCAGTGCACTCCAGCCTAGATGACAGAGCGAGACTCCATCTCAAAAAAAGCACACAACAGAGGAGTCAAGCCCAGGCTCATCAGAATGCCCCCTACTCCCTTCCAGCAGCTCTCCCCTGCTCTGTGTCCAGGTAAGCGTCCAGCCTCCAGGCCTCCAGGCATCTACTGGGGCTCAGGGGCATCTGGAGGTGATAGGAGGAAGGATGCCAGCCCAGGAGAAGCAAGAGTCCACATCTCCTGGGAGTTTCTGTACAACCCAAACAGACCAACCAGTATACAGGAACACAGTATCTGAAATGCCTTCAGGTTGCACAGTGGTTCTCGCCAAAATCTTACAAGTGATGTAAAAATCTCACAGACGTGTCAACAAGATCAAATGAATGAGTGCCGGTGGGAATTCAAGCCCAGATGAGCCATAAGCAAAACAGCCAAGCCCAGGTCTCTTTGAAGCAGAGCTTTTCAGAGGAATGAGTTTTGGCTTCAGGGTGGAAAATCTTAGTCTCTCTTGGAAAGAGGACCCATGAGTTCTTGGAAAAGCCTTAAGTCCCTGTCTCTGTCATTTCACACTGCAACCTCAGTGATAACACTCACCCCCACCCCAGGACAGGTATTGATTAGGTGCTTGCTGCATACCAGCTCCTATGTGCTAAGGGCTTGAGAGGGACCATCCCAGGTAATCATACCAGCAATGCTGTGAAGTGAGGGTGGGTATTATTGTTCTTCAAATTCTACATTTGGAGAAATGGAAAGTAGCATAGCTAACAAAGCACAGACCCGGGATTTGGACAGAAGAAGTCAGACGGCAAAGCCCAAACTTCAACTACCACATGCATGGCCATGACAACGTAAGAAGAGATAGGGTCTGCAGTGCCCAGGGTCTGTGGTTTCATCTTGTCAGATCTTTCTGCAGCCACTGAGCTATCAGGGCAGGGGTCAGCAGACTACAGCCCATGGGCCAAATCTGGCCCCCCACTTGTTTGTATAGATAAAGTTTTATTGGAACACAGCCATACTCAATGGTTTATATATTGTCCGTAGCCGCTTTTGCACCTGCAATGGCAGAGTTGAGTGGTTGCAACAGAGACTCAGTGGACTGCAAAACCTAAAATATTTACTATCTGGCCCATGACAGAAAGAGTTTGCTGCCCGCTAGATCAAGGGATGAAGTTGGAGCATGTCTGAGCCCTTCTCTAAGGAGTCAAAGGAGAGCACAGACTTGGGTGACATGGACAGGGATTTGGGTAGGCTCGTGGGAAACGCTGAGTGACGCAGCTTTTGTGGACATGTCCTGGGCTGGTGTGGTTGGGTGTCTTCTTGTCTATCCACTCCACTTCATGAACAGTCCTGACTGCAGGTTGGAGACACAGTTTCAAGGGCTCTGACAGCCCCAAGAGACCGTAATATTTCCTTAATTAAGGAACTGATCATTTTTAAGATGCCATCACTTTTCAGATGCCCCCTGGGGAGGCTGCATTTGTCCCTCTTCACAGTTTTCCACGCCCAAGCCAGTCTAGGCCCCGTGGCTCCTACATCAGCTCAGGGCTCATTCCCCCCACCCCACCCGAGGGGGACCATCCCTGCCACGGGGTGCTCACTATTCTCCATCACTTCTGTTATGTATCCGCATCCCTGAATACCACCTGTTTGGCTACTCCTGTCCTCTGTTGCTCTGGATCTCCTCCAGAGCTCTCGAAATCAGATCTTGTATACAGTAAGCACCGTGGCTACAGGCTCCTGATGTATTCAGTAGTGGCCACAGGTGTCCTCGGCTCCCAGCCTGTGTTGGGAATTGGGATAGTAGGGACAGGGTTCCTGGGAGGGAGGTGGGCTGGACTGCTTTCCTCATCCTCACCTCCTCTGATGTCGGCTTAGGCCAGTGACTCTCAACGCTGTTACGCACGGGGGGCAGATTTTAAGCTGATGGGTAGATGCTGAGGGGCTCATTGTAATCTGGTCAAAAAGTGATGGGACGGGCATTAATTATATGAACCACATGTGAGCTAAGTGGTGACAGGTGTGAGACTGTGTTAGGGCAGCTCTTAGTTCCTAAGAGTCTACTTGACTGGCAGACTCGAGGTGCGGGCTGCTTCTTCCTGAGGTATCTGGAACTACGAACCTTGATGAAACATGTGCAGGAGTTGGGGGGATAAAGGTAAAAACGGGGTGAAGGCCAAGCCCTGAAACAAAGTGGAGGTCGGATGCTAAAGTGGGGATTCGCCTTGGTGTTCTTTGCTGGAGGCTAGAACTCAGGCGACAGCCGGATCAGGCCCAACAGGATCTTCAGGGCCACGAGTGTGTCCCAGTCCTGGGAGCCTGGGCAGGCCATAGGCAGGGGGCCCAGCTTCCAGTCTACAACACTCCCTTGCAGCAGTGGGTGGATTCCTGTTGGCAGCAAGATGGATGGACATGAGCCAGTTGACCTGAAAGTCAGTGATGGTGGAGTTTCCCTTCTCTGTCTAACCTACCCACAACTCCCTCGGGCCACACACCAGCATTGCTTGCCGAGGGCATTCTCATGCCCTTTAGATCTTTGTGGATCAGATGGCCCTTCATGGCAGGGCTGCTCCTTGGACCTGTCCGACCAGGGTAGAGTCTCATGTGCAAAAGGGCCTTCCTAAGGCACTCAGACTGACCCCATTTCCCTCCGATCATGCCTCTGCTTCCTGTGCAAGTTGATTTTTGGCTGATTTGCTGTAGTTTGCAGCATCCACAATGAGGGTTCTTCATGTCCATGGCTGTGCTGTCTCCATGGCTAAATACTAAGCCCCCTGAGGCCAGGCATGCGGTCACAGATTGCATTTGTACGCATCCCATTTTGCTTCTTCGTCCTTTCACACTCCAATGCCTGGTTTGTGCAGAAAGCAGGTTCTCAGAGACAGACATCTGTTGGTACAGCTCCTCACTGTCCTGCAGAGGCAGGAGGTGAGAAGATCACTGTGAGCACCACTGGGGCCCCAGAGAAATGCAGCGATGGTGCCAGACCTGCAGAGCCCATGGAGAACCTGAGCCCAGAGCCAGATCTGCGGCACCATCAGCGTCGGCAGCTGCACTTCCTTGTCTCATTTCTGAAGTTGCTTCTGGATAAAATGTGATATACCCATTTCCATGCTGTAACGGAACAGAAACCAAAATGTGTTGAGCACCTCTCTATGCTAGGATGTGGTAGGCATTATTGGGTCATTGGGTCACTCAGCAATCCTTTATGGTAGATATTGTTGTCCCCAAATTGAATATAAGAAACAGAGGTGTAGGCTGGGTGCCGTGGCTCACGCCCATAATCCCAGCACTTTGGGAGGCCAAGGCAGGAAGATCACTTGAGGTCAGGAGTTCGAGACCAGCCCGGCCGGCATGGTAAAACCCCATCTGTACTACAAATACAAAAATTAGCTGGAAATCACTTGAACCCGGGAGGTGGAGGTTGCAGTGAGCCAAGATCATGCCACTGCACTCCAGCGTGGAGTCTCCAGAGTGAGACTCCATCTCAAAAAAAAAAAAAAAAAAAAAAGAAAGAAAAAAGAAACAGAGGTGTAGAAAGTAAAATGAAAAGTGCAAAGTTATACAGCCATGTGGCAGAACTCAGGGCACCCCGAGAGCCAGCCAGTGTATTCTGTGCCGTAGCAAAGCACTGTAAGGACAGAACCTGCCCAGGATCCAGGACAGCATGATGGGTAGAGGGCTCACGTCACTCCCTCCTGTGGCCCCTGCTCTTTACCTACACACACGTCCTGACTTTTCTCCTTCCTCTCCTACTGCAGGTCACAGGTCTCCTGCTGGCTTCCTAGCACCCAAGGAGGTCTGGGCCTCGGCCAGGGACTCCCATTGTATGGGCATATGTTCCAGACAACAGCCTTCACGTGCTTTCTTGGTTTTTCAGGAATTTGGCCATTGGAATCGGGATCCAGAATTTCCCCGAGGGCCTGGCTGTCAGTCTTCCCTTGCGAGGGGCAGGCTTCTCCACCTGGAGAGCTTTCTGGTGAGTGAGGGCAAGGTCATGTCTGATATCAGGTCCTCAGCAATCTCCATGTGGGCTTCTTTCAACAAAACAGTGATGTGCTTTTGCACTGCCGTGCTCAGATATGACATAGAATGACATGCATCCGTGTGCTAGGGTTGCGCCAACAACCTGGGCACGTGGAGCATCTGCTTGCCTTCCCCTGCAGTGGTAAATGTCTCTGTTCTCTCCTTAGGTACGGGCAGCTGAGCGGCATGGTGGAGCCCCTTGCCGGGGTCTTTGGTGCCTTTGCCGTGGTGCTGGCTGAGCCCATCCTGCCCTATGCTCTGGCCTTTGCTGCCGGTGCCATGGTCTACGTGGTCATGGACGACATCATCCCCGAAGCCCAGATCAGGTTGGAGAACTTTCCCTTCCTGTCTGTCCCTGTCCCAGTCCCGGCTGGGACCCCACCCTTGGAATATGCTCTTTCTTCATTTGCCTTTCCTTTCCTTATTCCCTCCCCTTTCTGCCTTCTCAAGATCGTCCCCACTCCCTCCTCAACTGTGCTCTCTGAAACTAAAAGAAAAGAAGCAAAGGGCAGGTGGGTCAAGAAATGAGGTGACACCAGGCAGTGGCATATGCACCTGCCCCCTGTCCCTTGATTCAGTAGACTATGATTTTTATATATTCTCTCGCATCCTCTCTCTCGATTCTCTGGGGCTGGAATGAGGGGAGAGGTGAGCTCTAAAATGTCGTTCAAGGTGATACATGCATGTCTTCACTGGCTAGCTATAGACCAGGTGTCAGGAGGCGGGAGTAAGGGTTTGCTTTGTTTCTTTTTTTTTTGTTGTCGTTTTGTTTTGTTTTGTTTTTCTTTCTTTTCTTTTTCTTTTTTTTTTTTTTTTTTCTTAGGCGGAGTCTTTCTCTGTCACCCAGGCTGGAGTGCAGTGGCGTGATCTCGGCTCACTGCAACCTCTGCCTGCCAGGTTCAAATGATTCTCCTGCCTCAGCCTCCCAAGTAGCTGGGACGACAGGCAACCACCACCACACCCAGCTAATTTTTGTATTTTTAGTAGAGACAGGGTTTCACCATGTTGGCCGGACTGGTCTCAAACTCCTGACCTCAGGTGATCTGCCTGCCTCGACCTCTCAAAGTGCTGGGATTACAGACTTGAGCCACTGCTCCCAGCCTATTTTGTTTTTTATAGAAGAATAATTTTGAGGCTAGTTTACAAGGCCAGATTAAATAATATGTTTAAGAAGTTATCACCCCTCTAACACTCACACATGGACCACAGAACCATCATAGGTGACCTTGGGCAAGTGACTCCTCTTTGACTCAGTTTCCCCACCAGTAAAATGAGGATAATTATGACACCTCATGAGGTTACTGTTTGGGGTTCCATGAGTTCATTAGTTTGCCTGGCACATAGTAAGCCCCAGTAAATGTTACCATTATTAATGGTAGTGTGATTTCTCTTGGAATTGGACATTGCAGAGGATGCCTTCAGCCTAGCTGTGGCCTCAGGGAGCATTAAGGTCTGACTTTTCTCCCTGTCCTTCTCTTCCAGTGGTAATGGGAAACTGGCATCCTGGGCCTCCATCCTGGGATTTGTAGTGATGATGTCACTGGACGTCGGCCTGGGCTAGGGCTGAGACGCTTCAGACCCCAGGAAAGGCCATACGAGGAAACAGCAGTGGTTGGCTTCTATGGTACCACAAGCCTCTTTCTTCACATTAAAACTTTTTTTCCTATCTTCTTCATCTCATTATCCTGATTGACTCTGATTATAATAGAACCATTTTTACTTGGCTTTGAGGGAGATTTTTGATTTAATGGGGAATTTTAAGGTGGCATGGAAATACAGATTCTTTGTTTTGGCCACTGAATGGACTCTCTCTTCAGTGGGATTATCAAGGAACTCCAGATCAGGGAAATCTCTGCTTTGGGAACTTCTATCTCCCTCCCAACTCCTCAAGGTCACCTATAGAAGCGAGCTACCTTCTATCTCCTAAGCATTTTGGTGGCCTAGTGACTCAGGGCACAGTGGCCAGCACACCTCTCATCCGCCCCTCCTGCTTCATCACTGCTGAGCCTTTACCCATCTAGAATGCTGGAACTGGAGCATCATAAAGATAGCAAGCTACCTTCCAAGGCTGAGCCAGCCCAGAGAGGAACACACCTTCCTCTACCTCCCCCCAAGGAGATACTACGTGGGAGGGAGACACAGACAAAGCGAAGGAAACTGGCTAGTCTGGCTTTTTTTTTTTTTTTTTTTTTTTTTTTTTTTTTGGCAAAGATTGACATTCTTGAAGGAAAGGGGATGAGGACAACTGTGAACTCACAGTGAGCCTTGTGGAAAGAAGACAGACAGAGTGTGGGTTTGATCGGAAGCCTCTGCCGTCAATGGATTCCAGGAGCAAGGCCATTTGTCGCGCTTTCCAAATTTCTTAGGCATTTATTTTGATAAGTTTATAGCCATCATTTTTCTAAGAGACTTGGAGACACCAGCAAACTGCTAGAACTCAAACTCTTCAATTACTCAAAGAAGGAGCCATTTCAGTTAACTCAAGTGAATGAAAGACTTTTGGAATCTGCAGTGGGTCCTTCCCTGTTGACCATTTGGTAACTTGTAATCTGACCAGAACCTCTTGAGCTGCAACAGGCCTTGCCAGAGGGCTCAGGATGGGAAAGGAAGAAGGGGATGGGAAAAGAAGAGGTAATTTTACATTTCCACCCTAAAGTAAATTTTAGCCAACTCATCATTCTGAAATGTCCCTATAAAGAATGAGTCAAACTAGACCAAAAGCCAGCCTACTCCTTCTTACATAGCTTCTCCAACAGGGGTAACACTGACCTGTCCACTTCAAACACAGATAAGGCCTGCCGTCCTCATTGGTTAGAGGAACACGTGAGACTTTGAGTGGGCTCTGCTGAGAAGGCAGGCAGCCCAGGAGCCAGGTATGCAGGCATTGCATTGTCAGTGTCTGCTCTCAGAGTTTACACATTCAGTTGCTTCCAAGGCTGAATCTCCTGCTCTGTGAATGCTCTCAGACCCCAAAGGCCAACCTTGGGCTGGGTCTATGTATGTTCTTCCAAAGCACTGATGATCAAAATTGAAGACAAATTCAGAGGTTTGATTGGTTGAGATTAACTGGTGTGGTGGTTGGTGTATGTATGTTTTATTTTTATGTCTTTGTATGTAGTTCTACATAATGCAAATTGTGCTTACTGATGGACAAGACCTCATAACTGTGATTAATATCAATAAAGGGGATGTTGTGGATGACCCGTGTTGCATTCAGTACTTCTTAAAGCTGCTTCTTGGCAAGGATGATCATAAAAGAGCTAACTAAAGTTGGAACTAACACCTCCCTGACCCAACAGTAGGAGAGGCGAAGGAAAGAGCTCAGATGGGAAGAGGCTAGTCAGATTACTGGTTGCAACAACAGCATCCAACAGCAGCTTACTTAAACAGAAAAGGGAATGAATGGAAGGCTATCAGGGAACTCACAAGCTGTTTCGGAGAATCGGGCTTGAAAAGGGGTTGGATCCAAGAAAGCCACAGGTCTGGGGCCATGACCCAGTCATGCCTGGAGAACAGCTTGGTTTAGATGCCACGGCCCCCAGAGCTGGTCCCTAGATCCTGGACAACACCAGTGAAACTGCTGTACCTTGATGCCACCACCACTGCCGCCACAAGAACAAACTCCACTGAGCTGGATTCTTTGTGTCCTGGCTCCACATTCGAAGTTCTAGATCAGAACATCCAGCTGCCAGGGCTTAGATCCTGTGCCCGTGAACTAGTTGATCTTGCCCCTTCCCAAGACTCGCATAATAGTGGATTTTCCAAATTTGGGAATGAGTTCATATGGTGCAGAGCCAAAATAGAAAAAAAAAAAAAAAGGGTTTATTAAGTTCATTAAAGCCTTACTCTTTTGCTGTTTGATATCAACATATACTCCAATTCTTCTAGCTTTACTTAAAGAAAAAACTGTTGCTTAAAATATATAGCTATTCCTCATACAATAAACTTCTTTCATCCCTTTCCAACAGGGTTACCCCAATGTCTTTCAACTCCTGTACTCAGGGTCTCTGAGTAATGGATACCCCTCCTCCGTGGGTTAACAAGTCCGTCGCATTATTCTGTATCTTTGAGCTGAAGTTACATAACCATAACTGTGCACCCCATACACAATAAAACGAATAAAGAGAGAGGAAAGAGAGGCAATGAGTTAAAATATTTCAGGCTACACACAACACAGGAAGTACAAGCAGAGGCTACAGCTCTCATTTTCTGCCCTAGAGAAGAGATCCTGGATGATGTTTAGGTTTCCCTCTTCCAGTTTCCATTCCAAGTCCATGCTCTGTCTTCAGCCAGTACCTCAGATGACTGGGGTGTGACCTACTAGCCATGACCCTATTCCTCCTTCCTAAGGGCATAGAGACCAAGGTGGCCCTGCCTATATGCATGATGGCAACAGTCTTCCTTTAACTCCCACCCTTGGAGGAGGAGGAGGACGCAGCTCCTGAGAGGACCACTTGAGTTTCATTCATAGCCGCCACCCTGGCCTGTCCCCCATGGTACAGCAGCATTTTCCCAGGACTAGGCACTGCAACCAGCCTTGTCAACCCACTTTTTTTTACCTAATGGCATGTGAAATTCTAAGTGGCCAGCCCACGTGTCCAGACTATTGCTATATCACTCTTTTTCTGTTCAGCATCTATATTCACTCTAATTCCCCAAATTTCACCTTTTTAAAAAATGTCTGCTTTAATGGAACAATTACTCATACAAACACTTTATATCCCCTTTCCAAAGGGAGCCACCCCAGTGGCCAGCTGCCTCAATGGTGCAACCTTTCTTTCCTGGGTACTAAAATCGCTAATTGGTGGAAGAAAAAGTTGAAGAGTGAGAGCCATTAAGTAAGATGGAAGTTGCACCGTCCCTACTTCCCCTTCCTCCAGACCTGTTTAGTCTGGCTGTGGGAGAAATAGCACCATGTGATGTTCCCTACTTCAGAACAAACAGGCCTCTTAAAGGATGATAGTTCAGTCTCCTTAGGTATGATCGTCTCTCAGTCCTGAAATGAAATCTTCAATAAATCATGTCACAGCTGAATACAGATGACTGCTTCTGGGTGACAGGATCCATTGACAAGGGTGTCACCCATTGCTTTCCCTCTTTCACCGTAAAGTGAATTCTGTGATCAGAAGCAATTTTATAGAGCATGCCATGATGATCTACAGGCAAGAGGTCAATTCCAAAGTCAGACATGAGCCCGTTTTAGTGAGAAGAAATCACTGCCCTTTCCGTAATGGAAGAGGTCCAAAGTCATCAGTCTGCAACGACGTGGCCCATGGTGTCCCTGGAGTCTGGTCAGTTGCGGGGTTCAGGGGTGGTCACTGATAAACCCTGTGCACACAGGGCCCAGGTCTGCCCTGATCATGGAAAGCCTAAGTGGTTGAATCCATCACAGTTCCTGTGTGTTGCCAGCACGGACTCTTCTGCTCATGAATCAGTTGAGGAAGCAATGATGTGCCTGGAAAAAGAAATCATCACACATAAGCAGATGGCCTGGTTCAACTAATTATTATTAGCTTTTGCCATATGGGTATTTTGGATGATGGTTTACTCAAAAAACAAACATTTTCAAATTTGGCCCATTCTGAGAAGTGAAGCCTTGTATGACTTCCCGCGCCTCTCCTCTGTCATTAAACCTCCAGTCATTCTTCTTTCAAGTTTGTGACCAGTTGAACAGAACCCCCCATCTACACTGCTCAGAAGTTGGTGTAGCTTCTTGCATCAAACTTTCTTTCCTTCCAAGCAAAGTGGACAGAGTTATGTGCTTCAAATTCTCCTCCCCAGGAGGTTCTCCCTCTCACCTGCTATCCTCACTGAACTATAACATTACAGTCACCTATTTAGAAGGTAGGGCCCCGGGCGCGGTGGCTCACGCCTGTAATCCCAGCACTTAGGGAGGCCGAAGTAGGCGGATCACGAGGTCAGGAGATAGAGACCATCCTGGCTAACACGGTGAAACCCCTCTCTATTAAAAATACAAAAAATTAGCTGGGCATGGTGGCATGCACCTGTAGTCCCAGCTACGTGGGACTGAGGCAGGAGAATTGCTGGAACCCGGGAGGCGGAGGTTGCAGTGAGCTGAGATCATGCCACTGCACTCTAGCCTCGGTGACAGAGTGAGACTCCGTCTCAAAAAAAAAAAAAAGAAGGTAGGTGACCATGTGGTGTGAAGCTATCTGTAAATGAGGCTCAGCGGTTTTTCCTCTCTTAGTCACTGGCTCTTGGGAAACCCCCCTTGAGGCCAGTGTTAGATTGATAAAGGGGTGAGGGGGAGGCACACAGGGAATGAACCACCTATGCATATAATGCATTTATGCCTTCAGTACCTGGTTATGGGCTATTCCCACATAAGCCATTTCCAGTTGGTAATGGGATTTTATGAGTGTCTCAGATGACTCAGTACATGATGGACAACTTGGGTTGCAAATGACATGTAATACATTAGGGATAATCACTTGGTGTCCATTAGTCAGTCCAGTTCAGAAGTTACTCCCAGCTTCTCATGCCAACACAGTCAATCCCGAATCTCTGCAACATATATCAACAACATCAGACCAGTGTAAAATGATATTCTTCCACCCATTTATTAAGCACCTTCAGTTAGGAAAATCTGAAATCACATTGGTTTCTAATCCTTATCCTCGCTGGTTTGAGCTTGCCATTTTCCTTCATTCTGAAGTGTTGAGATCTAACTGTCCATTCTGGAGACAGTCGAGGGTAATGCATGAGGAGAACTGGCTTGCTCTTGCAGTGAGACTGCAAAGGAGGCAAAGAAATGGTAGTATCGTTAGGAAGGGCTTCAGAAGACTGGAGAAGAGGGTTTCCACTGACAAAGGAGGCTCTTTGAGGATTGGTGATTCAGAGAACTTCAGGTTTTCCAAATCCTCTCATTTGTCTCCATTTCGGTTCTCTGGGTCTTACCCCTTCCTGATCAATACTCCAAATTTCTTTAGCAAGGCCATGATTTTACCAGTGTAGAAATTTGGCCAGTCCTCTGGATCACATTTTACCTTTGGTTTTCTCTTTTTGTTGTTGTTTTTTTCTTTTTGAGACAGAGTCTCGTTTTGTCACCCAGGATGGAGTGCAAGTGGCACGATCTCAGCTCACTGCAACTTCCGCCTCCCAGGTTCAAGCAATTCTTGTGCCTCAGCCTCCCCAGTAGCTGGGACTACAGGCACGCGCCACTATACCTGGCTAACTTTTGTATTTTTAGTAGGGACGGACTTTTACCATGTTGGCCAGGCTGGTCTCAAAGTCCTAGACTCAAGTGATCTGCCTGCCTCTGCCTCCCAAAGTGCTAGAATTACAGGCATGAGCCACGATGCCTGGCCGTTATGTTTTCTCAGTTATATGGACTCAAGAGGGAAGAGGATATTTCAGAACTGTCATAGGAAGCCCTTGGCTTGGTTTAAGTCTCTTCCTTCAGCTGATAACTTCGGACTTGAGCTTGCCAGTGTCTTTTTTTTTTTTTTTTTTTTTTTTGAGAAGGAGTCATGCTCTGCGCCCAGGCTGGAGTACAGTGGCGTGATCTCGGCTCACTGCAAGCTCCCGGGTTCACACCATTCTCCTGCCTTAGCCTGTAATCCCAGCACTTTGGGAGGCCGACCTGGGCGGATCACAAGGTCAGGGGATCGAGACTATCCTGGCCAACATGGTGGAACCCCGTTTGTACCAAAAATACAAAAGTTAGCTGGCATGGTGATGTGCACTTGTAATCCCAGCTACTCGGGAGGCTGAGGCAGGAGAATCACTTGAACCCAGGAGGTGGAGGTTGCAGTGAGCTGAGATTGTGCCACTGCACTCCAGCCTGGCGACAGAGTGAGACTCTGTCACAAAATAAAGAAAAAAAAAAAAAAAAAACAGGACTGCCTGTTGGGCTTCATGGACTGTTTGATGGCAGAAACAACTCATTGGCTCTAGGCTTTGCTTTGAATGGACCCTTCTTCCAGGTGACTGGTATGATGAGAAGTAGAGAAGTGGGGGCAGGTGTCAGCGTCTGGATCTTCTCTGGGGTCCTAACAGAAGACATTTCCGTCGTGCTGTGCTGAAGACGGGACCGGAAGGCCATTGCTCAGGTATTCACTCTACCAGACCGGGGGTTTTACACTCTCACCACTACCTTGAATCCCCGGTGAGGCAGATATTATTATCCTGTCTTTATCTGTGAGGACGGGAACGCAATGGCGGGGTGGGTTCTCGTTGGGCGTGGAGGCAGCAGGGACGCAGAAATCGACCTCCCCCGCGCGACTTGCCTGTAGCTTTCAGTTTCGTGGCCCAACGCCCTGCACGCCTCTCCTCTCGGATAATTGGTGGTTGAATCTGTGCAAGTTGGAAGCAAATGAGAGCCCAGCGGCTGTTCTTTCCCATTCCTTTTAGATTGAGGCAAAGGGACAAATCTGCGATGTGAATTATACAGCTCCAGGAATTTTTATCAGCGCACCCCCCACCCGGTCCTGCCTGAGGGTCTTTCTGAGCCACAGACGTCCCTTCCCAGGTCTTGTCCCCCCCCTTCTGCGAATGCCCTCGGATCACCCAGCAGGCAGGTGTGATCCGGCTCCGCGCTGGGGCCAGGTGAGGCCGGGCTGCCTGCGCCGGTGCATGTTCCCGAGGCGCGGCGCCCAGTCGGCGGGGCCTGTGGGCTGGACCTCCCCGGGGCGCCGGGCGTGGCGCCGGGAACAGGTCCCCAGGCTGCCCTGCAGGGCGGGCGGCGGGCGGCTGGTGGCTGTTTACCTGCGCGGGGCGGAGGTGAGACTCGCGGCGGTGCTGGGCTTTGCACGCAGGGGACGATGCGCCCCGGAGCGGGAGGGACGCAAGGGGCGACCGCTGTTACCTCTCTTGGAGATACCAAGGCCAGTCGGACTCCCCGCTGGCCGTCTGTGGGGCGGCTGCCCCCAGTTTGTCCCTTTCCAGGGTGGATCCAGATTTTGGGGGCCGGAGGTGTATCCAACGTGGGGAGCACCCTTTGGGAAAAATAATACAGAAGTCCCAACACAAACTTAGGTGCAGGGCTTTTTTTGGAAGGGGGCCTGTGAGTGAGGGTCCCCGAAGCCCAGACTTCCTTGGCTTTTAGGTAACCTCACCTCTGAATCAGGGCAGGGAGGCCTGAGGTGCTTGGGGGTTTAGAGGCTTCCCAGACGCTGCAGGAACCCCATTTAGTTAATTCACTTTTCCTTCATCTTCCCACACACCCCAGCCCAGCAACTGGGAGAAGGGGTGGCCGTGTGTTCAGAGGCAGAAGGAACCCAGCCCACAATTGTGCTTCTCTCTCCTGCCCTGGGAAGAACTAAACCGTCACTGTCCGTCTTCCAGCAGGATGCTGGGGGCTGGGCCTGGCCATCCAGGGCTGAGCAAAACAGTAACCCTGAACCTACCTCTGGATTCTCTCCCGCGCTCTGACCTTCTAACTCTCAACCCCGTGAAAGTGCCTGGACTCTGCCGGCGGCTTAAAAGGGAAAGGGTCCTGGGGAGCCATCATCTGTCCTCAGAGAGACGTCAGAGAGCCCCGATGGGGCTTCTGATGAAGCTGCTCAGGGGACCCCGGACCTTTGAGAATCCTCAGGGCTACTGCCCTCTGCCCCAAGACAGGGAAGATGTGCCTGAGTGGAAGAGCTGGAAGTGTCAGAGGCATGTGAACAAGAGCAACTCCATCTTAAATAGGAGCTGGGTAAAACGAGGCTGAAACTTACTGGACTGCATATCCAGACAGTTAAGGCATTCTAAGTCACAGGATGAGATACGAGGTCAGCACACAATATAGGTCATAAAGACTGGTTGCAGTAAAGGAGCCAGCCAAAATCCACCAAAACTAAAATAGTGACGAGAGTGGCCTCTGGTTGTTGTCACTGCTACACTCCCACCAGCGCCATGACAGTTTACAAATGCCATGGCAACGTCAGGAAGTTACCCTATATGGTCTAAAATGGAAGGCATGAATAATCCACCCCTTGTTTAGCATATCATCAAGAAATAACCATAAAAATAGGTGACCAGCAGCCCTCGGGGCTGCTCTGTGGAGTAGCCATTCTTCTATTCCTTTGCTTTCTTAATAAACTTGCTTTCACTTTGCACTGCGGACTTGCCTTGAATTCTTTCTTGTGCAAGATCCAAGAACGCTCTCTGGGGTCTGGATTAGGACCCTTTTCCTGTAACAGAGGAGCAACTGGTTTGTGTGGGCCCAAGGAAAGGTGTGTGATTGGTTGCAGAGGGTGAACCTCTGGACCTGTATCCCAGCATCCTCACCGCCCGTGGTCCTCCCCCAAATTAAAAGATCAGTTTGGAAATCATGCGGGGCCTTTTCTGATATAGTCTCCACTCTCTGGTGCACGATGAACCACAATAATACATTTCTCACTGGCCTCCCTCCTCCTGGCAGGGAGTAAGCAGATCCAGCCTGTTTGGACGTGGTGAGGACCCAGCCCTGGGGTTTAAGGCCAAGCTGGCATCTCCCTTCACTGATTACAAGAGCCATTGTTACAGGTGGGTCTTTGTTCTTAAAGCTCCCAAAATGGTGGTGAGCCACTCCCAAGATGGTAGCGAACCACTCCCATGATGGGGGGGGCAGCTCCCAAGATGGTGGCAAGCCTTTTGTTCTCTGACCTGAGGTTCTTGGCCTCACTGATTCCAAGGAATGGAAACTTGGGCCATGCGGTGAGTGTTATAGCTCTATTAGAAGCCGTGGGGTCATGGAAGAGAACCATGGAACCCAGTGACCAGTGTTCAGCTTGATTAGGATGAACCTGGGCACTTAGCCACACAGGAACAATGGCGAGCCTCTAGCCCGGACGGGAGTGGCGATGGGTGCCTCACTGGGTCAGAAGCATAGTGGACACCCTGCCAGATCCGGAGGGGTAGAAGTCAGCAGACGGCTGGCAAACAGCAATGGAGGACAGCAAGTGAAAGCTCAGCTCGAACCGTAAGAAACACAGACCAGAAGAGTGTGCAGTTGCAAGATTTAATAGCATGAAAACAGAGCTCCCATACAATGGGAGGGGACCCAAAGGGGGTTGCCACTCCCTGCTCGAATGCCTGGGTTTGTATCCCGATCATTGTCCCTCCCACTGTGCTCTCAGGCGAAATATGATTTGACTATTTCTTTACCCTGCTTTTAGCCTAATTTGTATTTTAGTGAGCCCTCTTTACTACCTGATTGGTCGGGTGTGACCTGAGTTACAAGCCCCGTGTTTAAAGGTGGGTGTGGTCACCTTCCCCAGCTAGGCTTAGGAATTCTTAGTCGGCCTAGGAAATCCAGCTAGTCCTGTCTCTCACCATGACCTCCAAGAAGCCCAGGATGCATCAGGGAAAAGTGGAAACGTGGGGCAAGCCTGGGGAACATGCAAAGAGGGGAGGCCTGTAGCCAAGTCTTGGGTTCCACTTTGTGGTTGTGCAGGAAGGAGGTCGGAGGTGTACCCTTTCTCTGACCTTTGCCTTTTAGGGTCGGGTTCAATGTGCACTTGAGTTTGCAGACTGCCTTTGTCCCCACCATGCCCTGGAGTGTGTCCCATGGAAAACAATAGTGAACTGATTTTTTTTTGAGACAGAGCCTTGCTCTGTCATCCAGGCTAGAGTGCAGTGGTGCAATCTCGGCTTACTGCAAACTCTGCCTCCCGGGTTCACACCATTCTCCTGCCTCAGCCTCCCGAGTAGCTGGGACTACAGGCACCCGCCAACACACCTGGCTAATTTTTTGTATTTTTAGTAGAGACGTGGTTTCACCATGTTAGCCAGGATGGTCTCAATCTCCTGACCTCGTGATCCGCCCACCTCAGCCTCCCGAAGTGCTGGGATTACAGGCGTGAGCCACCGCGCCCGGCTGAACTGATTTAAGATTAGTAAAATTTAAACTTGTTCAAAGTTTGTCTTCAGCTAGAACCAGCTCCCTTTCTGCTGTTTCAGTGAAAATACTTACCGAACTTATTATGTGAAATTATAGAAATGTAAAGTTTTTGGCCAGGAGTGGTGGCTCACGCCTATAATCCCAGCATTTTGGAAGGCCAAGGCGGGTGGATCTCACGAAGCCAGGAGTTCCTGACCAGCCTGGCCAACATGGTGAACCCCCGTCTCTACTAAAAACACAAAAAATCAGCCGGGTGTGGTGTTGCGCACCTGTAGTCCCAGCTGCTTGGGAGGCCAGAGTGGGAGGCAGGAGAATCGCTTGAACCCGGGAGGCAGAGGTTGCAATAAGCCAAGATTACACCAGAGTACTCCAGCCTGGACAACACAGCGAGACTCTGTCTCAAAAAAATATAAAAAATAAAAAAATGTAAATTTTTGCAGTTCCTAACAAGCCTGTAACACAGGTTAAAAAACAAAGGACTGCTCTTGAATAGATAATGTATGAGTCTGTACATTTCTTCCATGTGAACATTGATCATATTTGGTAACTTGGTGGGAGATGGTCGTTGTATTCATTTTCTATTTGTGTGTGACAAACCACCATGAATTCAGCAGATTAAAACAACACGTGAGTATTTCAGTTTCTCTCAGTTAGAAATCTGGACACAGTTTTAACTGGGCCTCTGTTCAGGGTCTCACAAGCTGTAATCAAGGTGTTGGCCTAACTATAGTCTCCTCCAGTGGCTCGAGTGGGGAGGCATCTGCTCCCAAACTCACTCCCGTTGCTGGCAGTATTCAGTTCTGGCAGGTTTGGGACTAGGGACCCTGCTTCTTGCTGGCTGCCAGCTGGAGGCTTCCTTCAGCTCCTAGGGACATGGGTTTTTCCCAGCATGGCTGCTTACTGATCAAACCAGCAAGGAGAGCCCCTCGACTGAGTCAGCTAGCAAGTGAGGGTCTTATGTAATATAGCGTAAGCATGGGCATGACATCCCATCACTTCTGCCATAGTCTGTTGGCTCAAGAGTGGCTTCTATAGGTGCATGGGCCTCTTTTTCATCCACTAGGGTAAGCATGACACAGCAAACTACATGCAGTGATGTGATTTTATTCTCTCTTTTACATATTTCTACACTTCAAAGTGGTACAATGAATGGATGAAAGAGATGTGTGAGCAGGGAAGGTACTGGAATCAAGGATACCCGTCTGGACAGATGGGCTGTTCTGGATGAGCCCTGGGAATCCTGGCCTTTTTGCCCTCTTCTTCCCTGCGGGGTTACCACGGACCCATCTCCCAGAACTATGGGGTCAGGGCTGCAGCCAACTCTTGGTTCCTTCAAGGGCCTGAGGAATGGCATCCGCAGGTCCACTCTGTGTGCCCTTCTCTCTCCCACCCTGTCTGCTCTCGTCAGCACAGTGGGGCTGGGCACAAAGAAGCTTCAGATCAACTTACCGTTTCCACATCGATACCAATTGAGAGGTGGCAGAGATGCCTTCATTTTGGTCACTACCTTTATTTTGGTTCAGGAACTTTTTACAAATCAACTCCCCACAGGACCTATTCTGTGACAATGGCTATGAAAGCCTCAGTCATTGCTTGTTCTTTGCAAGAAAATATGGGACGGAAAGGGAATAGGAGACACGGGGGAAACAGTAACCAAAAGCCAGGGTCCCACTACGATGTCTACTAGAGGATATGGACCTACATGTCCCCCAAGGCTTTCAAATCTAAATATATACAT